TGTGGGCTAGACTTCATAGGACTAGAATTCTGTCTTCCCTTTTAGCCTACTTAACTGCAAATTGATGGCTTAAACAGGTAATAATGGAGAGAAAATGCCCTAGATTGTTCCTATTTAAATTGTCTTGAAGGAGTAAGCTTTTAATATTTGAGACATGTTGATTTTTTTCAGGGCTTGACTTAAATGCTCAACTACATTTAGACATACAATCTTTTGAAAACGGGGTACATGTTGTACTCTTATAAGACACCCATTTGTTTTTGTTCCAAGCCCCTGTCAGTAAGGAGGCTGGTAGAAGGTGCAGGACATTTCCTGTCAGACGGTAAGGGTACTTGAGGGTGGGGTCTGTGTCTTTCCTGTTGACTCCTGACTTTCCAGAGCCTAGTACAGCACCTGAGACATCTGAGGTACCTAATAAGTAATTATTGATCAGGAGAAGCAAACAGGTTGATGCAGAAGGTGATTGGGAATGAATAAATTTCTATGCAGTCACATTGAGAATATTAGTGTAGATTTTTATAGCAATTTGTGGTGCATGAATTGCTGAATATTTGGCCTCTCATACAGATGTGCGAGATGCCAGTGAACACACCAGAAAATCCCTGGAAGGTGAGTCCCGAAGAGGAACGAGAACGCAAAGACTTGAGGAATACCCATCTTGTGTTCAGCATTGACCCCCAAGGTTGTGAAGATGTGGATGACACACTCTCAGTGAGAACCTTGAATAACGGCAACCTGGAGCTTGGGGTCCACATTGCGGATGTGACACACTTTGTGGCTCTAAATTCTTACATTGACACTGAAGCTAGAACAAGGTAATGCTGTTCGAATCAGCACCGCGGTTGTGTGTCCGTGACTGTGTGTTTTGTATCTGTGCGTTCAAAACAAAGATCTCATGTTTGTGCAGTTCGGAGATGCCTTGCAGACAAAAACGTTGAGGGCCGCTACCCTTTTTCCTGTACAAAAATAATCAATTTACCTTTCCTTTTTAACATAACCTTTCCACACGTTGTTCTTGCCAAATTGAAATGGGTTAAATTTTCATGTAGTAATATACTATTTTACATAATACTGGATCATTACCCTTCAATTTTTCTCATGCAAATAAGATTCTTGTCACTTTTTCTGTCTTCCTTGTATCGGTGGAAGAACAATCAGCCCAAAGCAGTATCACTTAGAAAAAACGGGACCATGGGAATAGTTTTATTACCCAGTCTGCTGCACTTTATGGAACAGCAACAGCCTTGGGGAATTTGTACCGAGACGCTGGCCATTTGCCTCAGCGCAGCCCACGCAGTCAGCGGTTCTGCTTCGCGCTGTTGAAGGTCATGTTGCCCGCGTGTGTGTCATTCGCAGGGCCACCACTTACTATCTAGCAGATCGCCGCTACGACATGCTGCCCTCCGTCCTCAGCGCTGATTTGTGTTCCCTCCTGGGAGGCGTTGATAGGTGAGTTTATAGTTTTTGTCTTCCAAGTTTGCCCTGGCCCTTCTGTGGTTTCTCATGCCCCTGCTTCTGGCCTCTTTCTTCTTTCTGGTAGGCTCCTACCACCTCACCCCGCGCCCCACTCTGCGTCTCCCCTCCACCCCCCCACCCCCCTGCACCCTTATTTTGAGGCAGTTTTATTTCTCTAGCCTTCCCTTCCTCTCTGTTCTCTCTGCTGGCTGTAAGGCTGCTTCCCCCGCTCTTGCTGGCTTTTTAAAGTCAGCTCAAGTCTGAGAACAGATGCTTTATGAGTCTACATTCCCTGGTTGAAGGTATTTTGCGTGAGGATCATGAACTTGAGTTTTTTGTTTATTTGTTGTAGTTAAAGTTTATGTTTATTTTTGACTAGGTAGTAAAAATCATATAGTCCAAAATTTATACTTTCCAAAAGATATTTAATGAAAGACTCCTTCCTATCATTTTCCCTTAGTTGCCGATTTCTTGTGTGTTTTTCTAGATATAACACACACACACACAAATGTAGATATGTGATCTTTCTTTTTTACTCAAATGGTGGCTATATATATAGATACACACACACACACACACACACACACACACACATACACACATACTGTTTAGCACCTTCCTTTTTTTTTTAAAACAGTGTATCCTGGAAATCGTTCCATATTAATACCAATTGCTTATCTATGGAAACTTGGATAGTTTCTAATTATTTCTATTACCAAAAAAACTATTGAATTGCTTTGAACATGTCATTTCACATTTTTAAAAAGTACAGTATATCTGAAGGAGAAATTTTTCAAAGTGGAATTTCTGTGTCAAGGGTATGTGCAGTGGCCGGGTACGGTGGCTCACGCCTGTAATCCTAGCACTTTGGGAGGCCAAGGCAGGGGGATCACTTGAAGTCAGGATTTCGAGACCAGCCTGAGCAACATAGCTAGACCCTGTCTATACAAAATTTTTAAAAAAAAATTAGCCAAGTGTGGTGACACACACCTGTAGTCCCAGCTATGTGGGAGGCTGAGGTAGGAGGATCACTTGCACTGGGGGGAGTTTTAAGGTTGCAGTGAGCTATGATGATGCCACTGCCCTCATGCCCAGGCAACAGAGCAAGACCCTGTCTCCAAAAACAAAAGAAAAAAAGGGTATGTGCATTTGTGTTTAGATCATTATAAGCCAAATTCCCTCCTTAAAGGTTGTGCCAATTATATTCCCACCATCAAGTGTGAGAGTGTTTGTTTCCCCATAGCCTTGCCAACACAATATGTTGTATTTTTTCATCTTTGCCAATTTGATAAATGAAAAATGGTGTTTAAGAGTAGTTTTAATTTGCATTTCTCCTACTATGAGTAAAGTTAAAACATTTTTTGTATCTTCAACAATCACTTAAACATCCTTTTCTGTGAACTACATTATGTTCTTTGCCTGTTTTTCTTTTGGGTTCATGATTTATTACTACTGATTTGTTTGTAAGACCTCTTTGCATATTAGGAAAATTAGCCCTTTGTTTTTTATGTGTTGCAAATGTATATTTTTTAAATGAAATGATCTGGTGGCAAAGCGATTCTTTAGTAAATGAACTTTAACCTATCATCAAGAGTGTTATCAGGCCAGGCGTGGTGGCTCACACCTGTAATCCTAGCATTCTGGGAGGCCGAGGTGGGCGGACTGTTTGAGCTCAGGAGTTTGAGACCAGCCCTAGCAAGAGTGAGACCCCATCTCTACTAAAAAAAATAGAAATTAGCTGGACAACTAAAAATATATAGAAAAAATTAGCCGGGCATGGTGGCGCATGCCTATAGTCCCAGCTACTTGGGAGGCTGAGGCAGGAGGATCGCTTGAGCCCAGGAGTTTGAGGTTGCTGTGAGCTAGGCTGACGCCACGGCACTCTAGCCCGGGCAACAGAGTGAGACTCTGTCTCAAAAAAAAAAAAAATATTGATATCATAGTTCAGAATCACCTGTAGGATTTGAAAGGCTTTGTTCTGGTTTACTAAGGAGCTAAACATACTTGACTCTATCAGGGCTGTGCTATTCTAATCAAAATAGAGAACTATAAGGTAGGGTTTGTAGTAGTCACATGTGAAGTCATTTCAAATTTGTTCAGAGCTCAGTAGAACCTCATCTAACTTTGTTTTAATTTAAAATATTTTTTGATTTAGTGGTAGAGTGGTTGGATTGAGAAATTGGACCAGAAACCTATAGCAATGTCATTTGTTTCAAGTTACATTTAGAGTCAAGTTCTGCTTATTTCAAAAATAGAATTGCATCATGATGTTGTCAGTGTTATTGGTGTTTGTAGGTATGCTGTAAGTGTCATGTGGGAATTGGATAAAACCTCTTACGAAATTAAGAAAGTTTGGTATGGCAGAACCATTATTCGATCAGCATACAAACTGTTCTATGAAGCGGCCCAGGAACTACTGGATGGAAACTTCAGCGTTGTTGACGATATTCCAGAATTCAAAGACTTGGATGAAAAGAGCAGACAAGACAAGCTGGAGGAGTTAGTGTGGGCAATTGGAAAGCTGACTGACATAGCTCGCCACGTCCGAGCTAAGCGAGACTGTTGTGGTGCTTTGGAACTGGAAGGGGTAGAGGTTCGCGTACAGCTGGATGAAAAGAAGAACATTCATGACCTCATCCCCAAGCAGCCCCTGGAAGTCCATGAGACGGTGGCTGAATGCATGATCCTGGCCAACCACTGGGTAGCCAAGAAGATCTGGGAGAGCTTCCCTCATCAGGCCTTGTTGCGCCAACACCCTCCTCCACACCAGGAGTTCTTTTCCGAACTCCGGGAATGTGCCAAAGCAAAAGGCTTCTTCATAGATACACGGTATTGTTCTTTTGAGGGGGTAGGGGAGTGGAAAGATGGAAGGGAGTGCTGTACATTTATCTATCTTACAGTTCTTAAAATGTAACAGCCAGATCTTTCACCAAAAATAGAAAATTTTTTGGCTGTCTTCATTTTTAGAGAGATATTTTTCTCTCTTTGTTGTTAGGTATAGAGACTTAAAACAAGTTTATTTAGGCATAGTTTTGACCCACTGCAATTTGTAACATAGAAGTAAGGAACCCATTACCCTTGATTTAATTTCATCTATCCCTTAGGCAAATACCAAGAAGTAATCCTATTCAGTACTTCCTGAAATGCAGCATATGTCTGTGACAGTATCATAAGACACTACACCAATGGCAAATTTATACCACCCTCCATAGAATGAGACATTTTTACTCCCCATCTCTGGGATAAAATATTTCTCCCATTAAAAATGATGTATAAAGAGGATTTTTTAAATATCTCATTGTCAAGTAACAGGTACTAATTAAAATATCATTTATTTATGAAAATGGATTTTTTTTTTTTTTTTTTTTGCTTCTGCCTTCAGGCAATAGTACCTTTTGCTTGTGTGTCTGGTGGTCATTGGTTGAGCTGTCTGCATGCCAGGCATACGTGCCAAGGGCTCTCGGCCGTGCTCTTGATTAATCCTTACAATGCTGAGGTGATGGCAGTATCATTCATATTTTACAGATGGCGCATTAAGTCTGGAGAGATTAAGTAACTTGCCTATAATTTAACAGTCAGGGCAGAGCTAGGATTTGAATCCAAGTCCGTCAGACTTGAAAGCTCACACTAGGGACCACCTATCACATTGCTTCTCTGTTCATCATCGTCCTCCACCTCTCCTTCCCCCTTTGTCTTAGCCAGCCACAATATACAACTGAATTATGTGTTGTATTATTAGTTTTATTTTTAATATACCTCTATGTTTCTTGGGGTTTTAAAAATTATTTTGAGAATAAATAAATAGAATGCTTCTTCCCAGCTCTTTAGAAAAAGAAAAAATAATTTAGGTTTCTTTTATTTGTGCTCCTCAGGTTTAGGTTTGTTTTGTATTTTTAACTCCTCTGGCTCAATAATTCTTGTTATTAAAAAAAAAAAGAAAAAGTCCAGTCTTTGACCTGTATAGGATGTTTAAGGTTAATTTAAAAATTCAATTCAACAAGTATTTGACCACCTAATATGCACAAGCACTAACTTAACCTAGTATGAATCAGAATATTACTTTTTACTACTTTTTACTACTTTTTACTACTTAAGAAATTTATTGAACAAGCATGGTGGCTCACACCTGTAATCTTAGCACTCTGGGAGGCCGAGGCGGGAGGATTGCTTGAGATCAGGAGTTCGAGACCAGCCTCTGTTAAGAATGAGGCCCTGTTTCTACTAAAAATAGAAAGAAATTAGCTGACCAACTAGAAATAGGAAAAAAAAAATTAGCTGGGTGTGGCGGCACACACCCGTAGTCCCAGCTACTTGGGAGGCTGAGGCAGGAGGATCGCTTGAGCCCAGGATTTTGAGGTTGCTGTGAGCTAGGCTGACACCCTGGCACTCTAGCCCAGCAACAGAGCGAGACTCTGTCTCAAAAAAAAAAAGAAAAGAAAAGAAATTTATTTAAATTCTGACACACTTTCTTTGTCTAAACTTTAAAGCAAACTAGATTTCTGTAGTTGAAAAGAGATGCTTCTGAAATATGTCCAAAATAAATTTATTCACACATGAAGGTATTCAGATGGATGATCATGTGAAGGGTTCCTCTCAGAGTATTGACTTGTAAATTACTGTTTGGGACTAATTGAAGGTTTTCCTGTTCTTTGTCAGGTCCAATAAAACCCTGGCTGATTCTCTGGATAATGCGAATGACCCCAATGATCCTATTGTAAACAGGCTGCTGCGCTCTATGGCGACGCAGGCTATGTCTAACGCACTGTATTTCTCCACTGGATCCTGCGCCGAGGAAGAGTTCCATCATTATGGTGAATGATAAAATTTTCCTACGTGTGGCTATAACTCAGCAAGTTGTTTAAAAAGAATTTTTTTTGTTGTTTATTTTGATCTTCTGTTTTCTTTTTGAAGGTCTTGCTTTAGATAAATATACCCACTTTACTTCTCCAATAAGAAGATATTCAGATATTGTAGTGCACCGATTGTTAATGGCAGCCATTTCAAAAGATAAAAAAATGGAAATTAAGGAAAATTTGTTGAGTAACAAAGATCTTGAGGAATTATGCAGACATATCAACAACAGAAACCGAGTAAGAAGGAATTTTAAAATTCTTATTCATCATCTCTGCTAAGAGAATATCAGCTTTATTGTGTAGTAGAGTGAAGTGTCCTATATTCTAAGAAATTAAATTATAGAATATTCTAACCAGTGCTTCCAATACATTTACAGATGTTCTAAGGTAACATGTGGATTTGGGAGATTTGACAATAGATTAGATGTTTTTCCCAAAAGGTGGAACTGTAAAGGTTCAAGCAACACATAAAGATATGAAGACAGAAAGATCATCTATCATCTTACTACCCAGAGATAACCGTTATTGACAATTCTAGACAATGCTAACATTTTTATTTATAAAAATATCATTCCTGCTGTTTGAAATCTGCTTTTTTCACTTAACACGTCTGTTATTGATAGCACACCATGTCAATAAAAATAGTTACACTGTTATTTTAATATAGATTTTTTTTTTTTTTTTTTTTGAGACAGAGTCTCACTCTTTTTGCCTGGGCTAGAGTGAGTGCCGTGGCATCAGCCTAGCTCACAGCAACCTCAAACTCCTGGGCTCAAGTGATCCTTCTGCCTCAGCCTCCCGAGTAGCTGGGACTACAGGCATGCGCCACCATGCCCGGCTAGTTTTTTCTATATAGTTTTAGTTGTCCGATTAATTTCTTTCTATTTTTAGTAGAGACGGGGTCTCACTCTTGCTCAGGCTGGTCTCGAACTCCTGAGCTCAAACAATCCACCCGCCTCGGCCTCCCAGAGTGCTAGGATTACAGGCGTTGAGCCACCGCGCCCGGCCTGTTATTTTAGACGCTGCTTTATATTCTACTTCATATTATTACTAGTTGCTACAAGATGGCACAGCATAGAACTAGACTGTTGAGTGATACAGAAAATTAGAAACTATTTAATATAATTTTCCGTATCAAATAGTCTGGTTTTCTGGTGTGCAATATTGTAGCCATTAGCCATGTTGGCTATGTAAATTTAAATTAAAATTAGAAGTAGAAATTCAGTTCCTAAGTTACACTAGCCACATTTCACATTCTCACTAGCCACTCGTGGTTAGTGCCTACCTATCGGGCAACAGAGATACAGACATTTCCATCATTGCAGAAAGTTCTGTTGGGCAGAGCTGCTCTAAGCAATGCAGTTTACAACCACCTTGTATATATACTTTCAAAGACTTCTCAGATTATTGCCTGCATAAATAAATTGCTAGAAATGGAATTTCTGAGCCAAAAGGTATTCACAAATAAAACTTTGATACATATTACCAAACTGTCCTCCTTAACAGTAGTGCCAATCTACACTTCCAATAGGATTTCGGTAGGACAGGCTTGAAAGGAAAGAAAGGTAAGACATGTGTGTGATACTTTTCCTATATCCAAAATGGACATATCCCAAATTTGGCAACCTCTATTTTGATGAACTGTAAACAAGTTTCATTTTATAAAAGCATTCATCTTCTAAGACATTTTTGAGGGGATAATACTGGGTAGCTAAGTTCCCACAAAAATTGATTTAATTCATAATGTAGAACAGTTTTTATGTTAATAGTTTTATAGACTCTAACCATTTTATCACGCTTGTCACAAGTGGCTTTAAAACAATGAATCTTACCTTTTTAAAGACATTGTTTCTGTGGGAATATGAACTTCATGTTTCTTCTGGAAATGTCAGGGAAGTGTGTTATAATGCTTTGGGGTTGCACTTCCTCCAGGCAGCACAGCATTCTCAGAAGCAGTCTACTGAGCTCTTCCAGTGCATGTACTTTAAAGACAAAGACCCTGAAACTGATGAGCGTTGCATATCTGATGGAGTTATTTATTCAGTCAGAACGAATGGTGTACTTGTATTTATACCAAGGTATGTTCCATCTAACACAATGGTAAGAAATCATAATGAAACTCAAAGTGTAGAATACAGACATTTGATTATTTAAGCAACTATTTATAAAGTTAGCACAGGTACATAACGTATAATTCAGTATATAAGTAAGAAGTAGGAGATTGGAGTACATAAATATGTACATCTCTATTAATCTTAGGATTTTACTTTCTTATCTAGCAAAATATTTTGTTTCCATCTGCTAAGGTGAAATAAATATTTGGAGGTAAACCACAGGAAAAGTGATTTTGTTTTTAATCTATTAGCCATAGGAAAAGTGATTTTGTTTTTAATCTAGAAGAAAAACTAGCATTTTAGATAAGTATACATGGTCTGCATACTAAGAACACATTACCTCTGTGGATTTCTATTCCGGCAATGATTCAGGTTTGGGATTAAAGGTGCTGCTTATCTAAAAAATAAAGATGGTTTAGTAATCTCATGTGGCCCAGACAGCCATTGTGAATGGAAACCAGGATCCCTTCAACGATTTCAAAACAAAATTACCTCTACAACAACAGGAGGGGAATCTGTTACGTTCCATTTGTTTGACCACGTAACAGTAAGTCTGTATTTATATTAAGTATTGTTTTCAACATAAAGAACAAAGAATATGATTTAGTAATATGTATCTTCTCCTCTATGGCAGGTAAGAATATTTGTACAGGCCTCACGCTGCCATTCTGATACAATCAGACTTGAAATAGTAAGTAACAAACCATACATGATACCAAATACAGAACTTTTTCATCAGAATTCTCTCTTGCTCAAGAACGAATTAGTGAAAGAAGTAACTAGATCTGTGGAAGAAGCTCAGCTTGCCCAAGAAGTCAAAGTAAACCTCATTCAGGAAGAGTATCAAGAATATTGTCAAACAAAGGGAAGAAGCCTATACACACTTCTAGAGGAGATAAGGGACCTAGCTCTCCTGGATGTTTCAAACAATTGTGGAATATGAAATACTCTTACTTCATTAAAAGAGCTTTTTCTTACGTGAATGTTTTACCATGTTTTCAGACTTCAATTTTGTGTGACACTCAGTGCTCTAGCCCATCAGGACTGGGTAGCTGTGTCATCTGTATAAAATGTTCTCATTCATTAAAGTTGCATTAAATGTGTGATTAGGTCATTACAGAAAATGATTTTTCAGTTATAAGTAGACGGTGAATGGTGGCTCTGCAAGGCAGGCTGCTAGCCTCTTTCTAAAAAACCCAGAATTTTTGGTTATCCGGTCTCAAATCAGCTCTTTCAAAATAAATTTTATTTTTCCAGTAAATGCTACATGGGGCCATTTGGGTCATAGGCCCCTCTGACATTTGTCAGGTAAGTTTTCAGTCACTTTCAGGTAAGACTTAGTCCTGTCCCCACACCCACTTTAAAGCTCCTGTTTCATATCTGACTCAAGCTTTCCCTGCTGTCCCCAGCAGCAGCTGGGAATAGGGCAAAGGGAGCATGATGGGATGCGCAGGGACTTCAGAGGAAGTCCTTCTCACACTCCTGTTTTGTTGAGAACTCCTCAGATGATGAGGTGCATTGGCCTCTCCCTTGTTGGAAACTTGTTACTTTGCCAGCAAACTCATCACCGACAAATTAAATCTTTCGGTCACTTCTGTCTAATCCAGTTCGTGAGGGAGACTAGAACCCCGAACAGGCCCTCCTAAGAAAGCGGTTTCTCTAGGCCTTTGTTGCACCTTGAAATTGGGCTCCATCTTCCAGCGGATTCCCTATTGGCAGCAATAAGCTACAATCCTCTGGAAGCACATGCCTCTTGGCCCATCGTGATGGCAGTTCCCAGCAAGCCCAGAGCCCCCGTTCCCCATGTTCTTGTGCTCAACTTCTCGGCTTTTCGAACCATCTTTGTCACTCCCTATCCCCACCTGAAGTCAGAAAGCCTAAAGGGAACAAGATGCCTGTCCCGGCTTTGTGGATGGAAGCCACTCTATACCATCACTCCCCCCCCTTTCCCCAAGGGAAGAGGAGAGCCTTTCCTTACAAACACTAGTCTTACAAAAGTTAACCTTCCCAGCCTCCTCCTTTGTAAAAACTAGTTTAGCCTTTCCCCTCCCTGCATAGTAATCTGCCAAGAACCAGACCTTCTTTAAACTTGGTTGTCAACGTGACACTTCTCAACTGTAACTAACCCCTCCACCAGGCAGAAGAACTCCAATCAGGTCCTCTCACCATCTGGTCCTAACACTTCTAGCCTTATAGGCACAATTTCCAAGTCTTCCTTATTCCCTAAATCTTTATATCATTCTTGTACATGTTCTTCTCAGTACTTTTCCCCATGATACTTTGCAAGTTTCTCTCCAACTAGTTAGTAAGGTACCAAGGAGCATTCTTTGAACTTCCCTAGCACCCATGAGGGCCAGATAATACATCAGCCTTTTATGTAAACTTTTAAGTATTAAAGTGACTTCTCAAAATACACAAACCTTAAACATTTGCCAAAAGTGTAAACTGCAGAACTAAATAGCAATGAGCTTTCATAAAGCCTCCAGAGACAATCTGTAAGACAATTTTTTAAAAATGGATTAACATTCAATATATATTTACATATCACCCAACTTAGTGAAAACAAGGCATTCAATGGCACACTAGCAACAGAAGCTGTTTATTAACTACTAATCATTTATAAAGTCATATCTATATAAAAATGAACACTATAGAGAATAAATAGA